AGAAGCATTGAATCAATAGAACTTGCTTAAGTGTTGGCTTTCCATTTAGCAGATAATTCAGTTGGTTTATTCCAGTTGGCATTTGCCTATGACTTAAGGCAGTGACTTCCAAACTCTGGTCCTCAAGATGTTTTGGACTTCAGCTTCCTGAATTTCTGACCACTGGACAAATTGGCCAAGGCTGCTGGAAGTCCAAAATACTGGAAGAATGGAGCTGGGAACTGGTGGATTAAGGCCCAGAAACTGGAATCACATCAGATTCATATCAGAGTCTGCTGTATTTGGATTTTACTCATTTCCAAAATCTGGTTTTTGAGGTGTCTTGGACTTTATCTCCCACAATTTTTGACCAATGGCCAAAGCAGTTGAGGCTGCTGGGAGTTGGAGCCTAAGACATCTGGAGAACTATGGTTTTTTTCTGTGTCAGGAGCAACTTGAGAAACTGCAAGTCGCTTCTGGTGTGAGAGAATTGACTGTCTGCAAGGACATTGTCCAGGATATGCCCAGATGTTTTATCATCCTGTGGGAGTCTTCTCTCATGTCTCCGCATGAGAAGCTGGAGCTGACAGACGGGAGCTCATTCCACTCCCCAATTCAAACCACCAACATTTCAGTCAGCAGTCCTGCTGGCACAAGGGTTTAACCCATTGCACCACCGTGGGCTCCAGGAATAGAGTTAGGAATCTTTGATTAAGGTGTTTGCCTGGAAATGGGAATCTCTTCAGATCCACATCAGGGAAGCAAAGTCTACACTGTTGGGAGGGAGGATGCATCTAAACTTGCAGAAAGAATGCAGTTTGACGCCCCTTTAACTGTCATGGCTCAATGCTATGGATTTGTGGGAGTAGTAATTTTGCAACATCTTTCAACCTTCTCTGCCAAACTACAAATTGCAAATGTTGTTGAAGGCTTTCATGGCCAGAATCACTAGGCTGGTGTGAGTTTTCTGGGCTGTGTGGCCATGTTTCAGAAGCATTCTCTCCTGATGTTTCACCCACATTTATGGCAGGCATCCTCAGAGGTTGAGGGGTCTGTTGGAAATTAGGCAAGTGAGTTTTATATATCTGTGGAATGTCCAGGGTTGGAGAAAGAACTCTTGTCTGTTTGGGGCAAGCGCGAATGTTGCAATTGGCCACCTTGATTAGCATTGAATGGCCTTTTCTTAATGGTTACCCTCCCCTTCTTGTAAATGTAATTTACACAGCAAACTACAGAAGTTCCATTTGGAATATCAATCTCAATCTTGTTTTTTTTACTCCATATATTAGCACATTCTCTAAATAATTCTTAACTGGATCCCACGTCCTCTTAATTATAGTAACCTTTTCAATTTTATCAATATTGTTCCATTTGCAATTTGTTATTTCCACATTTAACATAATAACTATATACTTCTACCAATTTGTCAGAGTCCATTATGTTTTATCTGTCCAACCCCTCACTAAAACAAATTGTGCACACACTATTCATTTTTGAACCAATTTTTCTTTTTGTATATTCTTCACTCGTTATCCTTGCATGTCTTACATTTCTATTGACTATTACTATTTGTAGATTTGACATTCTATTGATTTCTCCTTCAATCGTTCTCCAGTATTTTTGCACTCGATCGCATTCCCATATCATGTGATTTAACGCCCCTCTTTGTTCACAACCATGCCAACACCTGTCCTTTATCCCTGGTAAAAAACGTGAAAGTTGTGCAGGAGTTCTGTACCATTTTTGTAACATTTTCCTTCTTGCTTCCCTTAATACAGTGTTTCTCGACCTTCCTAATGCCGTGACCCCTTAATATAGTTCCTCATGTTGTGGTGACCCCCCAATCAGAAAACAGACCTAGACATGTGGGAGTTGTAGTTGTTGGGATTTATAGTTCACCTACAATCAAAGAGCATTCTGAACCCCACTGACTATAGAATTGGGCCAAACCTCCCACACAGAACTCCCATGACCAACACAAAATACTGTGTTTTCTAATGGCCTTTGCTGACCCCCAGGTTGAGAAACGCTGCCGTAATACATAGTTAATACATTGCCTTAATATTGCCTTTTACTATATTACTTTTTCCCTTTGGATATCTTCCCTCAGCATTAAATAGCCTTGCAACTTCAAAGCCTGGCTGATTGCTGCCTGGGAGATCCTTTGTTGGGAGGTGTTAGCTGGACATTCCACAGAAGACAATGCTTCTAGAACATGGCTAAACCACCCAGAAAATCCACAGCAACAAATGACATGATTTTGCAGCACGGAAAAGCAGTGCCACGCTGCATTCACTCTACAGCAGGGCTGCCAAAGTTTGTCCATGCCTGTGTAGATCAGTTTCCCAAATTGTAGTCTTCTGGTGTTTTTGGACTTCTGCTTCCAGAATCATTGATAGCTGACTGACCAAGACAGTGGAGGCTTTTGGAAGTGGAAGTCCAAAACACCATGGGAGGACAGCCTTCAGGGTTTGTGAGCAAGCTTGCCAAGGTTTTCATCCCTGACTGCACAAGTCTCCAGCCCTCAATTAGTAGTCAGTCTAGATAGATTAGAATGAGGGATTCCTTCCCCCAAATTCCCTATGCATGCCTATCTCAAGAGGGGCTTATAAGGGGCACTGTCCTTACTCCTCCTGCATGACACTATCTCCTCCCCTTTTGAATACTTAGCAATATGATATCTTGAGGGATGAGGTTATTTAAAATAATTTAAATTATTTTATTATTTAAAATAAATCTTTTAAAGATTTATTTTTATTGCCCTGGGCTGGCCATGCGGCCTGTCTCCATTTTGGCTTTCTCTCTTACCTTTTTTCTCCTTGTGTGAGGAGGCATCTTGCTATTCTCCAGGCAAGATGTAATTGCATAGATGCTATTTTTTATTTTTTCCCTTTCCCTTTCCTTAGAGCAGGGGTCCTCAAACATTTTAAACAGAGGGCCAGGTCACAGCCCCTCAAACTGTTGGAGGGCCTGCTTATAATTTGGGGAAAAAAACATGAATGAATTCCTATGCAAACTTCACATATCTTATTTGTAGTGCAAAAACACTTTAAAACAATACAGTAATTAAAATGAAGAACAATTTTAACTAATACAAACTTATTAGTATTTCAGTGGGAAGTGTGGGTCTGCTTTTGATGAGATAGGATTGTTGTTGTTGTTGTGTGCTTTCAAGTCATTTCAGACTTAGGTTGACCCTGAGCGAGGGCCAGATAAATGATCTTGGAGGGCCGTATCCTAGCCTCGGGCCTTAGTTTGAGGATCCCTGCCTTAGAAGATAGCTCAGTGAAGCTAGTTAGCTCCAAGAACCTTTCCTATCCAGAATGGATTTATTTTGACATTAATAAACATATTATTTTTAGAACCTATGAAGTTGTGGTTCTGCAATCCTGTTCCATCCCGGGTTGGGTTTTTTCCCCCGTGTCAGGAGCGACTTGAGAGACTGCAAGTCACTTCTGGTGTGAGAGAATTGGCCGCCAAAGGACACTGCCCAGGCGATGCCTGGATGTTTTGATGTTTTACTGTAGGAGGTGTCTCTCATGTCCCCGCATGGGGAGCTGGAGCTGACAGACAGAACTCATCCGTGTTCTCCCCAGATTCGAACCTGTTGGTCTTTAGCCCTGCTGGCACAAGGGTTTAACCCATTGTGCCCCTGAGGGCTCCTGCCTGCTGAATGGAAACTAATCCTTGCTCTCTGCACATAAGCTTCTGGTGGTTATGAACTGTGCCTCTGGCACTCAGCTATATTTTGTGGAACCACCCCCAAGTGAGGGTTATTTTTGACCCTAACAGTTCTTGATTCCTAACAGTCCATGCATATGTAGCTCAGTGTTTCCCAAATTCTAGTCTTCCTGGCGTTTTTTGAACTTCTGCTCCTGGAATCACTGCTGATTATTGATTGGCCAAGGCAGTGGAGGCTTTTGGAGGTAGAAGTCCAAAACAACAGCTGGACCAGAATTTGGGAATCCCTGGTGTGGAGTCACGGAAGGAGAACCTTCCTATCCGGAATGGATTTCTTTTGACTTTAATAAACATATTATTTTTAGAACCTATGAAGTCGTGGCTCTGAAATCCTGTTCCATCATGTTCCTTCCCCCCCCCCCCCCATATCAGGAGCAACTTGAGAAACTGCAAGTTGCTTCTGCTGTGAGAGAATTGTCTGTCTGCAAGGACGTTGCCTAGGGGACACCCGTATGTTTTGATGTTTTACCATCCTTGTTGGAGGCTTCTCTCATGTCCCTGCATGGGAAGCTGGAGCTGACAAAGGGAGCTCATCCAAACTCTCCCCATATTTGAACATGTGACCTGTCAGTCTTCAGTCCTGCCGCACAAGGGTTTAAAGCACTGGTTCTCAACCTGTGGGTCCCCAGATGTTTTGGCCTTCAACCCAGAAATCCTAACAGCTGGTAAACTAGCTGTGATTTCTGGGACTTGTAGGCCAAAACACCAGGGGACCCACAGGTTGAGAAGCACTGGTTTAAAGGGTTTAACCCATTGCATCATGGGGGGCTCCTGCCTGCTGAATGGAAACTAATCCTTGCTCTCTGCAGGTAAGCTTCTGGTCCTTATGAAATGTGCTTCTGGAATTCTGCTGTATTTCTGTGAAATCACTCCCAAGTGAGGATTATTTTTGAGCCTAAAAGCTCTTGAATCCTAACAGTCCATGCCTGTGTAGATCAGTGTTTCCCAAAGTCTAGTCGTTTTGAACTTCTACTCTCTGAATCGCTGATCATTGATTGGACAAGGCAGTGGAGGCTTTTGGAAGTGGAAGTCCAAAACACCATTTGGACCAGAGTTTGGGGATCCCTGTTGTGGAGTCACTGAAGGAGAGCCTTTAGCGCAATGGTTCTCAACCTGTGGGTCCCCAGATGTTTTGGCCTTCAACTCCCAGAACTCCTAAGTTGGTAAACTGGCTGGGATTTCTGTGAGTTGTAGGCCAAACCACCTGGAGACCCACAGGTTGAGAGCCACTGCTTCAGGGTTTGCAAGCAAGGATCGTGCCAGGAGCTCTGTGGACTTACCAACCCAGGAGGCGTGGTCCTCCCAGACGGAGCGCATCTGGACGGTGAAGAAGGGCGCCCAGCAGACGATGTAAGCCGAGACGATGACGAAGGTCATCTTGACAGTGCGGATCTTGGCGCGGGAGAAGTTCTTGACGCTTCCGACGCATGGGGCGAGTCGCAGGCCTTTGCGGAGGGCGGGCTGGCCGGGCAGCGGGCCCTGGCTCTTGCCCTTCTTGCCCTTCTGCCGGGCGTTGCTCCAGATGCGGAAGCAGATGAATCCGTAGCAGGTGGCCAGGACGAGGACGGGCGCCACGAAGATGCTGCCGGTGACCCAGGTGACGTAGGCGCGGGGCCCCCAGGGCATCACGAAGTGGGCCCAGCAGTCGTAGACCTCCGAGCCGCGCTCCACCTCGCTGAGCGAGAAGATGAAGTACTGCGGGGTGGAGAGCACGAAGCTGAGCGCCCAGGCGCCCGCGATCATCCAGCGGGACCGCCGGCTGGGGCTCTGCAGGGTCTTCAGCGGGTGGCAGACGGCGATGTACCGGTCCGCCGTCATCACCACCAGCAGGTAGGCCGAGGCGAACATGCCGAAGACCTGCAGGTGCTTGACCACGCGGCACAGCCCGTCGGGCCCGTGGAAGCGGTGCGTCACCTCCCAGCAGAGCTGCGGCAGCACCTGGAAGAAGGCCACCGCCAGGTCGGCTAGGCTCAGGTGCCGGATGAAGCGGTGCATGCGCGAGGCCTTCCGCCGCGGGGTCCGGCCCAGCGCCAGCAGCACCAGCGCGTTGCCCAGCACGGCCAGCGCGAAGGTCAGCGCCAGCACCGCCACCTCCAGCCGGGCCAGCTCCTCGTTGCGCCCGAAACGGTCCCCCAAGCTGCCGTTCGCGTTGGACGGCCACGGAGGCTCCGCGCTGCCCTCCTGGCTCTGGTTGCCCGCGAAGCGCATCGCCACGACGGCCAGCCTCTTGCCCGGAGCTTTCCCGCCCTTTCGCGCGCTCTCCGGCGCCTCAAAGTCTTCCCCGACCCGTCTATTCCGTCAGATGTCGGAGTTCCGCCCTCTGCTCCCTTTAAAGGGACTGGGCTTCCCTCTGCTTTAGTCCCCTCCTGGACTCTCTTTTCCCCCTTTTTCTGGCCTTCGCTGGAGTTGTATCGCTAGGACCTGATTCTCGCCTAATTTCTCTCCTTTTGAGCGGGACTTTCCCGCCCTTTCGCTCTCTCACGGCGCCTAAATGTCTTCCCCGACCCGTCTATGCCTTCAGATGTCGGGAGTTCCGCCCTCTACTCCCTTTGAAGGGATTGGGCTTCCCTCTGCCTTAGTCCCCTCCCGGACTCTCTTTCTCCCCCTCTGGATGCCTTTTCCTATCTTGCGCTGGAGTTGTTTTGCTGGGACAGGATCCTCGCCTAATTCCTCTCCTTTTGAGCTACAGTTTCCCGCCCTTTCGCTCTCCCCCGGCACCTAAATGTCTTCCTCGACTCGTCAGGTCTCGGAGTTCCACCTTCTTCTCCCCTTGAATAGATTGGGCACTCGTTGCGCTCTGCTTCAGTCCCCTCCTGGGCCCCCTTTCCCCTCCCTTTTTTCTGTCCTTCACTGGAGTTGGATTGCTGGGACCGGATCCTCGTCTAATTCCCGCCCTTTCCTCCCACTGCAGCGAGATTGTTGAAACCGGACCTGTCTATTCCTTCAGGTGTCGGGAGTTCCGCCCTCTGCTCCCTTTGAAGGGAGTGGGGACTGACTTCTCTCTGTGTAAGTCCCCTCCTGGTCACTCTTTTGCCCCGTCTGGATGCTTTTCCTGTATGGCGCCGGAGTTGGATTGCTGGGACCTGATCTTCGTCTAAATTCCTCTCCTTTTGCGCTGGAGTTTCCCGCCCTTTCGCTCTCCCGTGGTGCTGAAATGTCTTCTCGGACCCGTCTATCCCTTCAGGTGTCGGAGTCCCGTCTTCTGCTCCCTTTGAAGAGATTGGGCACCCGCTTCCCTCTGCTTGAGTCCCCTCCTGGGCTCTCTTCTTCCCCCCCCCCTCTGGGCGATTGTTCTGTCGTGCGCTGGAATTGTATTGCTGGGACCGGATCCTCTCCTCGTTTGCGCCTTCTTCCTCTCCTTTTCTGGCGCGATTAATTTGGGGGTCTCTCTTTCTTCTCCTCCTCCTACTCCTCCGGACACTCTTTCCCCCGCTCTTCGGGGCTGGGTGRTTTTGAAATATCGGAGCGCAGTCCTCMGCTCCCTTTTTGGAGGGAATTGGGACGTCGTTTCTCCCCGGCGAACCCCCTTCCTCTTTCCTTCCTTTTCCCGAAGGGAGGTGGGACGGTCCTTTTTCTTTCTTCCCTTCCTTCCTTTTCTTTTTCCGGAGGGATGTGGGACCACCGCGGGCTCCTCGGTGTGCTGCGCCTCTCTCTCCCTCCGCGTTTCCTTTCTTCTCACTCTCTTTCCCTCTTCCTTCCTTTCCCTGTCTTGCTGGAAGCGGACCTTCTCCCACCTGTGCCTCTCTTCCTTCCTTTTCTGAAAGGACCGCTTCCTTTCTCCCCCTCCTTTTCCCGCTCTTCCTTTCCTTCTTCCACCGGAGCTGCGTTGTCCAAGCCCAACTCTTCGGAGGTGTCGGACCTCCTCCTGCTGCTCTCCTCTTGCGAGGAATGAGGACGGAGGAGCTGGGGACTCGCCTTTCCCGCTCTGCCTGCTCTCCTTACTCCGAGGAGGTTGAGGAATGCGACACCAGTCTCTCCTCACCCTCTTTTCCCCACTCTTTCTTTCCCTGGGGTTCCTTTGTTGACGTGAGTGACACCTTCCTGCGCTCTTCTTGGGACCCGCGCTCCCTTCTCTCTCTCCCCTTCCTCTCTCTACGGACGCCCCTCTCTTTCTGGCTTCCTTTTCCTTCGCGGTACTCAGGGATTCGCCTTCCTAGCCCCTCCCCTCTCCTCGTAACCCCGCCCCTCTCCTCCGCCCCCTTTCTATCAGCCTAAGCTTCCAATATCACAGTGTGCTTAGCCTCCAGGCATGGACCAACTGCGGCCTTCCTGGTGTTAGGAATTGTGGGAGGTGAAGCCCAAAACACCTGGAGGGCCAAAGGCTAGTTGGGATATATATATATTTATTTAGTATATTTATATACCGCCTTTCTCACCCCCCGGGGGGGGGGGACTCAAGGCACTTTACAACATATTAATGGCAAGAATTCAATTTTTGTTTTGGTCATGTCAGGAGCGACTTGAGAAACTGCAAGTTACTTCTGGTGTGAGAGAATTGGCCGTCTGCAAGGACGTTGCCCAGTAGGACGCCCAGATGTTTTGATTTTACCATCCTTGTGCTACTCTACTGCTGAGTATGCATGCCCAGTGTGGAACACATCTCACCATACTAAAACAGTGGATGTGGCTCTTAATGAGACATGCCGCATTATCACGGGGTGTCTGCGCCCTACACCACTGGAGAAATTACACTGCTTAGCCGGTATTGCACCACCTGGCATCCACCGGGAAGTAGCAGCCAATAGTGAAAGGACCAAGGCAGAGACATCTCCAGCTCATCCCCTGTTTGGGTATCAGCCAGCACGCCAACGACTTAAATCTAGACATAGTTTTCTAAGATCTACAGAGACACTCGCTGGAACACCTCAGCAAGCGAGAGTCCAAAAGTGGCAGGCTCAAACCCAGCACCTCAACCAATGGCTGATACCAAATGAAACTCCCTCCTGGGCACACAGAAGACTGGGCGACTTGGAAGGCATTGAACAGACTGCGCTCTGGCACCACGAGATGCAGAGCCAACCTCAGAAATGGGGCTACAAAGTAGAATCCTCGACATGCGAGTGTGGAGAAGAGCAAACCACTGACCACCTGCTGCAATGCAACCTGAGCCCTGCCACATGCACAATGGAGGACCTTCTTGCAGCAACACCGGAAGCACTCCAAGTGGCCAGATACTGGTCAAAGGACATTTAACCAGCTACCAAACTCACAAGTTGTGTATTTTTCTGTTTGTTTGCTTTGTTCTGTTAGACTGGTTGTTCTGACACGACAAATAAATAAATAAATTAAATAAATAAATAAAAACCATCCTTGTGGGAGGCTTCCCTCATGTCCCCGCATGAGGAGCTGGAGCTAATAGAGGGAGCTCACACTCTCCCCGGATTCGAACCTGTGACTTGTCAGTCTTCAGTCCTGCCGGCACAGGGGTTTAACCCACTGCGCCACCGGGAGCTCCCTGAATTCAATGGCAGCATGCATATAGTAAAATAAAGTCACAATAAACACTGACATGTAACTATAAATTAAAATAATTAAAACCATTAATATAGGCATATCCAACATGTAAACCAGGCATGGGGAAACTAAGGCTTGGGGGGCCAGATGACACTGTTATAGACAACCGTGCTGGGCGGTTCTCAAATACGTCAGTTTAATCTGAAAATAAATTGCTGAACAATCACACTCACAATACAAGTCCCAATGATACTCCCTATGAACGTGCAACCTCCGTAGGGAGGAAACAGAATGTCATTGGGACTTGTATCTTGAGTGTGATTGTTCAGCGACTTAGTTTCAGATTAAACTGACTAATAACAACAACAACAACAACAACTTTATTTTTATACCTCGCCAACCATCTCCCCTAGGGGACTCAGGCTGGCTAACAAGGGACAAGCCCAAAATTACAAGTAAAACACAATCAATTAAAAACATCAGATAAAATATAAAAACAAACACAATTGTAAACAACATCAAAACAATATGGCTGAGAAAAAGAACATAGCTGAGGTACAGACTCACTAATGTATTTGAGAACCACCCAGCATGGTTGCCTCTTACAGTATACAATTTGGGTTGTTGTAAGTTTTTTTCAGGCTATATGGCCATGTTCTAGAGGCATTTTCTCCTGACGTTTCCCCTGGGACAAAGGACTCTTGTCTGTTGGAGCTAGGTGTGAAACATTCACACCTAGCTCCAACAGACAAGAGTCCCTTGTCCCACCCTGGTCATTCCACAGATATATAAACCCTTTTTTCCTAGTTCCAACAGACCTCGCTACCTCTGAGTATGCTTGCCATAGATGCAGGCAAAATGTCAGGAGAAAATGCCTCTAGAACATGGCCATGTAGCCCGAAAAAACCTACAACAAGGTAGGTATGTAGCTGCTGTAGTTGCTGGAGTACTCTCAGCTACTGTGCATCTCACATTCCTCCCAGCATAAGGACGGTGGGAGTGAACCCATCCTTATGCCAGGAGGATGGCTCAAGGAAGGCACATCGTGGCTGAGAGCCCTATAGAGCACACTCAGCCATCGTCTATCTTGTCCTCCTCCAGGCATAATGCCAAGAGGACAGCCCGAGGATCAGGGAAGGAGGATCTGGGCATGGAGAGTCCAGGCAGTCGCTGCTTATCCTGCCTTCCTCCCAGCGTAAGGATGGGATGAGCAGTCCCATCCTTATGCTGGGAGGACAACCTGAGGATGACCTGGGCCCTGCTCTGCCCACTCCTGGCTCCATCCTTTCCTGGGCCCTCCCCACCCAGTATGTGCCTGGCCCCCTCACTCCCAGCCCTCCTGGCTGGGCCCACAATGTGGCCCCAAGGCAAAAATATTTGACCATGCCTGATGTAAACACTAAGACAAAGCATTGAAACCATCCTAATACAAATGATCCAAAAATCATCTACCATGGCCATTCCGATTGTCATAGGATAGTCAACAGACTGTGCAAATTCATACTTAAAAGTTGCTTAGCGACACCACACACTGTTTAGGCTGCCGATGGGGATGCCTCTTTGCCTCATGAGGAAAGCTTTCCCTCCCTGAGGTAAAGTTTAATCGACAGTGCAAGTTAATACTTAAAGTTGCTTGGTTACAGCATACTTTGCTTAGGCTGCCTATAGATGGTGAGAGGAAAGCTCTCCCTCCCTAAGCAGCTTTGAATGCACCAAAACCATGAGGGGATACAGTGTGGCTACAGCTTGTTGCTTTGT